AAATCTACCTATTGATAAAATGGAACCATCTGTTCTTTGTTGTTTCCCAAGAGGTCAAAATAGACAAACCATGATAGGTGTGTGTTGTGGCTCACACATGTAATCTCAGTTACTTAGAAGGCAGAGAGAGATTGGGAGAATTGCAGTTCAAAACCAGCCTGGAGCAAATTTTAGTGGAATCCTATCTCAACAAATGAATTGGGCAGGTGATATACACCTTCCACTACATGGGAGACATGAGTAGGAGAATTAAAAGTCAACCTAGTCCAGTCCAGGCAAGAAACATGAGGCCCTACCCAATAAAAACTAAATCCAAATGGGATAAGAGACTAAATAAGGGACTAAAATAAAGCTCAAGTAGCATCTGTCTAGCCCAAGTAGCTCAGTGCAACAGAATTCATGAGAAAAAATGAACCTAGAAAATCCTGGATTCCAGTTTAGGAGCTAGAAATTCCCTTGCCCTCAGAAACAGCACCAATTCTGGCAACAGTCCTCAGGGAATCTTCCTCTGATATAGGAAACCAAGGTGACTTCCCCATACCATTTTACCTTTGGGAAAGAAAGGACTAAATGGAGAAAAGCAAAACATGCCTACTTTACGCATGTCACAAATGAGGCCAAGGGAAACCACATATCTGTAGTAAACAGATATTTACATAATGAGAAAATAAAATGTATAGTCAACAGATTTCTGTGAATATCCATTATCTACCCAGTTAGACCCACATGCTACCATAGTTAGCAAGGGATAAAAGAAAGGCACCTCAATACTATTAAAAGACTGGTTTTTCTGCTACTCTCCATATATACCTTAAACACTAAATATTTTCATTTATAATATGCTTCTCACAGGTATTTAATTATCATACTTGAGTACTTTCTTTTGTAAAAAGATTTCATAATGGTTCTGTTGTTTTTCTAGCCTTGATAATGGTTACAAATCTACCTTATCTTCTCTGTGTAAGGATGCTTTGCCACAGACTCAAAAGTATTTCCAGTGAGCTCAAATTGGCCCTCCCTGTTTTCCCTCAGCCATATTCTTACGCAATTTATCTCATTCTAAAGTTTGACATCAATGTCATGTAGAATTTATAAAATCAGGAGAGAGGGGTGATAAGGAAGAATGACAGAGGGAATGAGTCTGCTCAAAGTACACTGTATGCATATATGGATATGTCAAAATGAAGCCCCCTTTGGATGACTAATTAATACTAAAAAAAGGTGGGGAAAATTAAAAAATTATGGCAATAGCAATAAAATTCTTTTGATAGCTGGTATAGTCTATAGTAGTTTACAAAACAAAACTACTGAGAACAATTAAAGCAGCAGCATTTCTTTTGTTTAAAGCATCATTTCCTGATACTAAATCATAGATGACATTTATATAGAAATGTTTTAATAGCAATTCATTGATAACACAGACTAAAAAACTTAAAGGTCTCTATTCAAAAGTTATATATGAAATTTCAAACTGGGATCAAAAAATATCTCTACAACAATCTTCTATGTTTTCATTTCTGCTAACCTCCAAAAATGAACATAACCACACATTGACTCAGTTTAGTAACAACCCTAAACGCCCAGGGCTTCCAAGTTATGCCATTGTCTATGCTAGTATTTATAATCAACTTGGTGCCATGTATTATTATTATTACTTAATCACAGGAAAGCTTTGACCACCTAGATGACTATCTATAGCATACAACATGTACTGTATAAATGAAACTTTCCTAGTAGTTAGAAGAAAAAAAAGTGATATGGTGACTGTCTTCATATTCTACACCATAATATGTGCATGTCAAACTTACAAAGAATCTATACCCAAATAATCAGTGCCATGTTCACATTTTAAGTAGTAACTTCCTTTTAGAAAAGCAGTATCTTTAATTAATCTTTACTCAGACTTTATTGGCTTTGTGATATGCTTTGTTTTGAACTTGAAATTTTCATTTAAATGTATTGTTTGATTTGTCTGTTGTTTTTTTCAACAAGGTCTTGCAAGGTAGCTCAGGCTTGCCTTGAGCTCATTATCTTCTTGCCTCAGCAAAGTATTGGCATCATAAGCATGCACCACCATATGTCTGACTTGGAGGTAGTTTGGTAACTGTTTAAATCTAATAAATTTACATTTGCCTTTGTATCTATCCACATTAAATAAAATTTTATGATATAATACTTTACCCACATACCAGAATTTAGAGCCTGTAAGGTTTTTTTCTAAAATAGGCTCAAATATATTCAAGTTTATAAAACTGATTTTATACTTTATTGTTTAAGGTCTAACTAAAATTCTACCTCATGCAACATACAATACTATGAAACCTACAGAATGAGACATTCTGAATCTTCTTTCAGCAATTAACCCCTTGCTTGTCAAACTCAGCATTTCATTTGTAAAGTATACTAGGTAAATAAATTAGTATCATGAAAGATCTACTGAAGACTTCTTGCAAACCAAGAAGAGGGGATTGAGAGGCTCAGTAGCCTCTCTGGCTACACTTTAAGGAGCTTTCTAACTAATCTAGCTGGTTATTAATAGTGTATGTGTGTATGTGTATGTGTGTACGCATGTATGTGTATGTGTGTGTGTGTGAAGCTAACATATAAGTTTAGAATGACTGTAGGAAACTCAACTTCAATAGTAGTGACAAGGACAAATTTGTAATTGTCTTTTTTCCATCTTCAAACTACCCTAGTTACAATTTGCTAATAATGACAGAGAAGCAGGGACAATAGAGGAAAAAGGAAGAATAGAAGAAAAGGTAGAAGAAATGGTCTAGATAGAAATACAATTAATCAGAATAAAAGAAAGGGAACTAATATTTGTGAGGTACCTTCTATGTACAAGTCATTCTATACTAGATTTTATATAGCCCTAACACAATTACTCTGTTGAGACATTACACCTATTTTTTCACAGATGAAAAATCTGAGTTTAAAAGATATTAAATATTACCCTAGATTATACAGCTAGTAAGAGCTAAATAGGTGGGAGTTGTATATTTTAAAAGATAAGAATATTATAAGAACTTAATGAATTGTGTAATGATTATGGCAATCAAAAGAAACAGACTGACCTTGAACTTGGGGTCAGAAGAAGAGGATCTTTCTACTACAGAGGTCACGTCTAAACTAGACTTTGAAGAAAATGGCAAAGGACAATTCAGAAACAGAAACAACATTTGTATAGATTTCCATAGGTGTCCAATGGCAGGAATGCATATATGAGCAGACTGAAAGTTGATCATAGAGAAACTTAAATGTTAACCTAACCAACTGTGGGAAATATCATCAACTACATTCGGTTATCTTCTAATTAAATCTCAAATTGGATAAAATGATGCTGCATTATTTATAAAACTACCTGTAGAATACATAAAAGTTTTTTGTTTGTTTGTTTGTTTTTTGGTCCAATCGTGGGGCCTGAACTCTGGGCCTGGGCGCTGTCCCTCAGCTCTTCAGCTCAAGGCTAGTAGTGCTCTACCACTTGAGCCACAGCGCCACTTCCAGTTTTTTTCTTTTTTGCTTATGTGGTGCTGAGGAATGGAACCCAGGGCCTCATGCATGCAAGGCAAGCGCTCTACCACTGAGCCACCTTCCCAGCCCACATAAAAGTTTTTTTATGTTATTGTCAAGGTTTTGTACAGTGGAGTTACAGTTATGTAAGTAAGGTAATAGTTACATTTCTCGTCTAAGTATTACCCCTTCCCTAATTTTTCTCCCTCTTTTCCTCCCTTCCAATCTCCCCCCAGATGAAAGTGTTTTTTAAAAGTATAGTTCAGAAGCCAGGCACCAGTGGCTCCCACCTATCATCCTAGCTACTCAGGAGGCTAAGAGTTGAAGATTGCAGTTGGAAGCCAGCCTAGGCAAGAGTCTCCATGGGACTCTTGTCTCCAATACCCTACTCAAGTGGTAGAGCATTTGCCTTGAGCAAAAGAAGCTCAAGGAGAGTCCCCAGGCCCCAAGACCAGCAAAAAAAAAAAAAAAAAAGCATAATTCAGGTGACATACAGGTCTCCAACTTTTGACTCCCTATTAGTTATCTATATCCCATTAATAATCACATGCTCCAATGATGTTTTTAAGCCTCTACTTGGACACTTTCAAATGTGGAGCACTCATTATCTAGTAGAACTCTATACTATCTTTCCTAATAAAGCCAATTCTTGCTGCAGGGCAAAGGCAAGTAGAGAAAATGAGTTTCATATCTATGATTTAATCCTTTAAATTAAAATGAAACAAAATCTTCTATAGTCACAAATATATGCACTTTCATTGGAAAATTAGCACAAACAAGTAATTTCTGTATGATAAAAGAAATATCTATTGCTTTTGTGACCCAGTATCCTTTTCCTTAGTCTACTTTTGCTGGATGTGAGGTGGGGATAAGTCTTCTATGCCTAAAGCCAATAACACCCTAGTTCCAGGGTGAAACACAAGACTATAAAATTGTGATTCATTAAGACTGGATATATGGGACTTACACAAAAGTGACAGGCCCAGTAACTGATAATTACATTGAGAAGAACAGTCTCTGATAGACTCAGTTCTTGAAATTGCTATAATCAACTTACCATCACAAAGAAAAAAGCCTATCTGAAACCAACTCAAAAGAAATGGAACCTAGAAACAGACATGGGGAGATCAGAGATCAGAAATGCCTACTTCAAATCACACTTCACCTTAGTGAGTTTTTGTTTTCTTTGAACCATTTGCTTCAGCACAGCATTTCATTTTCAACACTCCCGAGTACTGTCGCTTTTTAGAAAAAAATTAGCATTTTACTCAGGAAGAAATAAATGTCCAACTTTATTAACACTGAAAGAAAAGAATAAGCAACTCAGAAATTAAAAGTTCTCATTAGACTATGTCACAGTTAAAAAAAGAAAAATAACCAAATATAATCCCCTAAAAAACAACTTTTTACAAAGGAAAAATAATCAAACATAATCCCCGAAAAAACAATTTAAGGAAATACCCAAAAACCATATAGACTCTTACTTGAAGCTGAAGAGTGTGCCGAAGAATTGTTTCTTCTAATGCATGAATCCACTTCTCTCGTTCATCAGCATCACGAGCTAGAATAAAAGATTGGAGATATTCAGTTTTGTCATTTCTTTAATAGGTTCCACTTTGATCTGCCTTATTGTATTGCTAAGCATCTAATATCTAATAGGTCTAATATCTAAGGACAAACACAATATACTTGCTTCTAATGGAATAATTACACTTAGTAAGTCCATTACATAACTCTGCGCAAACTGCCACTGAAAACTAGCAAAGCTGGATTAATTATTTTTAAAAAATGGTTCTGTCAACTGATTCACAGATTTCAAAACATGATATATATATATATATATATATATATATATATATATATATAATATATATATAAAGAATACTATTCAGCCATGAAAAATAAAACAACAACATGGACTGAACTGGAAATCGTATGTTAAATGAAAGGCAAAGAAAGACAAATACTACATGATCTTGTTCATATGAAGAATCTAGAACTTGCTCTTACAGAAGTTGAAAGTAAGCTGAAGGTGTGGCTCAAGTGGTAGAATGCCTACCAACTAAGAGCAAGGTGCTCAGTTCAAACCAAAAAAAAAATCAAAAAGCTGAGAGCAAAATGTGAGTTGACAGTAGGGAGGAGGGAGAGCTGGTATCTGGAACCCAGGATAGAAGCAAGAAGTGATCACCATTTGGTGACCACTGACTGATAGCAGTAACTACTAACTGATTTTTTATTTTTTGCTTTTTTTTTTTTTTTTTTGCCAGTCCTGGGGTTTGAAGTCAGGGCCTGGGCACTGTCCCTGAGCTTCTTTTGCTCAAGCCTAGCACTCTACCACTTGAGCCACAGCACCATTTCTGGCTTTTTCTGTTTATGTGGTACTGAGAAATTGAACCCAGGGCTTTATGCAAGCTAGCAATCACTCTACCACTAAGCCACATTGCCAGCCTCTGATTTTTCAAAACCTGGAAGAAAGGGTTTTTTTTTGTTTTTTTAAGTTTTATTATAAAGCAATAGTCAATGTTTTAATATGTTCCAACTGGAGATATGTCTTAAATGGTAGAAAGTCAATCAGCCATGAGCAACAAATGAGCCAGCACTGGTGGCTCGAACCTGTAATTCTAGCTACTGAGGAGGTTAAAATCTGAGGATCGCAGTTCAAAGCCAGCCTAAAGTAAAAAGCCAGAAGTGGGGGGCTGGTAAGGTGGCTCAGGGGTAGAGCGCTTGCCTTGCATGCCTGAGGCCCTGGGTTCAATTCCTCAGCACCACATAAGAAAAAAGAAAAAAGCCGGAAGTGGTGCTGTGTCTCAAGTGGTAGAGTGCTAGCCTTGAGCTGAAGAGCTAAGGGACAGCGCCCAGGCCCAGAGTTCAGGCCCTACGACTGGACCCCTCCCCCCAAAAAAATACACTCAGACCCTGAGTTCAACTCCCAGTAATGGTACAAAAAACATAAACAACACATAAAAACCCATCATGGTAAGCCCATAGGTACAAAGCTATGTTTTTACATAGCAGTTAAAAAAATAAAATAAAAACTGGTTGAAAGCATTGAAAATCAACAAGATAGTAAAGAATTACCAGTCCTGGTATTTAGAGCCACTCTTCAGTATTTAGAGGTATTATAAATTTTGAGAGAAGAGTTCTAGATTGGACCAAGTACTTTAAGCTCTGTCAGTGTGGAGGCAGTTAGTACATATATAAGAGGTCTACTTTTTGCTCAATTTTGCTAATGAACCTAACTGCTCTAAAAAACAAAAGTCTTTAAAAAAAAGTCTTTCAAGCCAAAATTTAAAGACCACATGCTACTGTAACAAAAGACTAAATATAAGCCATGTTTTAATCAGAACCCCCTCTCCCCCCTTTGCCAATCCCAAAGTTGCTTCACTTTGAGATAAAGGAAAAATCAGAATTTTATGATTTCAGTTCCTAAAAGATTAATAAAAGGTCACTGTTTTTGTTTTTGTTGGTCTTTTCTTTTTTGGTACTGGGGATCGAACTCAGGATGTTTCACTTGCTAGGCAAGCACTTTGCCACTGAGCTATACCCTAGCCCCTAAGGTCATTCTTTCTTTCTTCTTTCTTTCTTTCCTTTCTTTCTTTCTTTATTTTGTCAGTTGGGGATTTGAACTCTGGGCTTGGGTGCTGTCCCTGCGCTCTTCAGCTCAAGGCGAGCACTCTACTGCTTGAGCCACAGCACCACTTCTGGTTTTCTAGTGGTTTATTGTAGATAAAATAGGGATACAGGTGGGCCCATTGCAATAATGAGATGTACAAGTCGTTATGTCGAAAAATGAACTTTACAACTTTGGTGGGGGGGAGATTGGGTGGGGGGTGAAGGGGGGAGATGTGAAGGGATGGGAAGGGGAAACAGAGGAGGCAACAATGCTTGATAAGAAATGTACTCATTATCTTGCCCATGTAATTGTAACCCTTCTGTATGGTATTTTCACAATAAAAAAAAATAAAAATAAAAAAAAGAGTCTCATGGACTTTCCTGCCCGGGCTGGCTTTGAACCATGATCCTCAGATCTCAGCCTCCGGAGTAGACAGGATTACAGGCATGAGCCACCGGCACCCAGCTCATGGATCACTATTCTTTAATTTTGAACTTCATGGAAAAAAATCAGGTCCTTAAGACTAAAAGGTATAAAAAATGTTAGGTAGGAATGGGATGTTTTTAAAGACACTAATAAGGAATGTGAACAGAGACCAGAAAAAGGGAGAGATGGAAGTAAAAAGGACTATAGGAAATTTGAAGGTAAGAAGTTAAAAAATATAATTGACTTAGGGAAAGGATAGAGAAAGGATAGAATAAAATAGACATGTTGGCTTATCAGGGAATGGAAGGAATGTAGTTACAGAGGAGAAGAAAGCATCTAGCTTGGTTGAGGAAATACAGGCACTGTTCCACAACACAGAGAATATAGAAGAAAAGTTGGATATAATAGCATAAACATGTAATCCCAGAGTTAGAAGCAAAAGAATCATAAGTTCAAGGTTGGCCTGTTCTACAAAGGGAATTCCAAATTAGGCTAAACTACATTATGAGATCCTTTCTCTAAAACAAACATACCAACGGAGGAGAACAAACAGGAAGTAGCAGGCTGCCAAAAGATTTTGGAGCTGAAAAATCTCAATTTCAATTAATCCTGAAATTTGGTCAACCTGACATGTTCAAGAATCTCACCATCCAAAGTTTATCTGAAATTATTAACAATGATGCTCAATTACATGTTACTAGGCTGGAGGTGGCTCAATTGGTAGAGTGCCATCTGTGAGCAAAAAAGCAAGCAAGAATGCAAGGCCCTAAATTCAAACTGCATACCAATACACAAACTAAAATAAATTAGAGGCTAGGACTGTGGCTCAGTGGTAGAGTGTTTGCCTAGCATGCACGAAGCCCTGGGTTCCATTCTTCAGTACCACATAAACAGAAAAAGCTGGAAGTGGTGCTGCAGCTCAAGTGATAGAGCGCTACTAGCCTTGAGCACAGAGGCTCAGGGACAGAGCCTAGGCCCTGAGTTCAAGCTCCAAGACCAGCAACACACACACACACACACACACAAACAAACACACACACACACACACACACACACCTAAAATTAATTGAAATAAAGTATAAAATAAATTATAATTTAAATATTCTCTTCTCAGGAAAAAAAATCACAGAATACATCTTTAATGCAGTCTAGAAAAAAAAAAAGGGAGAGAGCAAGATGGAAAAAGGTAACTTTGGGACGTTAAAGCCAAGTCTCAGTTCATGAGGGTAAATACAGAACTTCCAAAGTACTTTACTGGTAATCTAGGGTAAAGTTTGTTCAGAAAGGAGAACAATCACTCAACTTGAGATGATGAAAATTTAATGCCAAAACTAGGCAAATAAGATACATAAGTTGGATGCTGGTAGCCTAGGTTTGTAAGCTTAGCTACTCAGGATGCTGAGATCTAAGGACCATGGTTCAAAAGCCAGATTGAGGAGGAAAAGTCTGTGAGACACTTACCTTCAGTTAACCATAAAAAAGCCAGAAGTGGAACTATGGCTAAAGTGGTAGAGCATTAGCATTGAGAGAAAAAAATAAAATAAGCCAGGTGCTGGTGGCTCACACCTGTAATCCTAGCTACTCAGGAAGCTGAGATCTGAGGATCTCGGTTCAAAGCCAGCCCGGGCAGGAAAGACCGTGAGACTCCTATCTCCAATAAACCACCAGAAAACCGGAAGTGGCGCTGTAGCTCAAATGGTAGAGTGCTCGCCTTGAGCTGAAGAGCTGAGTGACAGCGCCCAGGCCCAGAGTTCAAGCCCCACGACCGACAAAAAAAAAAAAAGAAATTGTAAATGAGGGTTGGGAAGGTGGCTCAGTGGTAGAGCCTTGCATGCCTGAGGCCCTGGGTTCGATTCCTCAGCACCACATAAAGAAAAAAGCCGGAAGTGGCGCTGTGGCTCAAGTGGTAGAGCGCTAGCCTTAAGCTGAAGAGCTGAGGGACAGCGCCCAGGCCCAGAGTTCAGGCCCCACGACCGGACCCCCCCAAAAAAAATATATAAATGATTATGTTATTGTAAATAAAATGCTTAAAGGCATTTCGGAAAATATATAATGGTTCCACATGAACTTGGGAGTAAAAAGGCCTTAATACATTAAAACTATGTAAATATTTCTTCAGCATATGAACTAGAATGAAGGTATTTGTGTATTATCATTTAAAATATTAATAGTAAATCACTTTTCTGAAGACTACAGTCTGCCTCTCCAAGGAACTGGGTCTCTCCAAGAACTGTGCTAAGGACAGAGAGGTAACAGTAAGATACTTCCTTCCTTCTCTATATTTAGCTATAAGTAGTTAACATAATATTTTTGCCTTTCCTTTAGAAAGCATATACTTCTAGATCAAGACTGCAGTATAAGCAGTATATTTCACAAAATTAAATCCTGTCATGTAAAACACAACCTAGATATAGCAAAATGTTACTAATTCAGCCTTTGTTATAATATTTATTACTTATAATTTACACCAAATCACTATGCTTAAACCAATGCTGGTGAGCTGGTGTTCTACATTTCTTTTT